TTCTCATTCTCTACGCTTTGCCATGATCATTTATATTTTTTAAAGATTTATTTATGCCTACAAGAACTGGGGTACAGGTCAGAGGGTACAGGCCACTCGTGCAGCAGTGGCTGGCCATAGCTTGATAGCACTGTCTTTAACCCCTGCACCACCAGGGAGGCTCTGAGAATTAACCTTATTTTAAAGATGAGAAAACAGAGGCTCAAATAAGTTTAGTGTTTACTTAAATTTCACATAGTTATATATATATATATACACACGTGGATTTGTAAAAGAATTACTTTTTAGACCTGAATTCAACTTCTCTTCTCCCAAGGTTTGGCATTTTGTTTTTTCTAGGTCTTTTATTTCCTGAGTTATTTGCTTAACTATTGTAACCTCAGGCTATCCTTCCCTCTCTTTTCTCCTATTCAAAGATTCCCAGTTGGAGATTATTTATATTGAGAAATAACCCTTTTTTTTTTTTTTTTGCATAGAACTGGGGTATAGGTCAGAAGTGCGGGGAGTGAGAGGATTCACCAGAGACAGAGTGCGAAACAAAACAGGCAGATTGACTGAAATACACTGCTGAGGGGAGCAGCGGTGAGACAGGAGAGATCTTCGTGCCATGTGGGTTAGCTCCCAGGCCAGGGATCAAACTCAGGCCTTAGCAGTGATAGTGCTGAGACTAACTTTAACTCGGAGGTCACTAGCGATGCCTGACAACCCAAGTAAGTGGGTAAAGTTTCTGAATAGTTCTTCAAAGAAGATAAACAAATGGCCAACAAACACTAGATGCTCAATGTCATTAATCACCGGGGAAATGCAAATCGAAACAAAATACCCCTTCAGACCACTCAGTCAATTAAAACCAAAAAGATAGATAAGCAAACATTGATCATGATGCAGAGAAATCAAAACCCTCAAGTATTGTGATGGAGGACAAGAATAGAAAAACTGGAAAGGAGGCCTCATAAGACTAAAACCTGACTCACACAAGGAGATGTGGGTCGAGGGGAATAACATGACCATTAACACAGCTGTAGAGGTTGTGACCCTTAGGCACCAATGCTTTATCACAAGGCATGAGACCCAAGCAGGATCAGATGCTATAAGGAGTGGAGCACAGGCCTGAGGGTAAATATATAGAGACTGGGCCCACCGTGGAATCTCTGGTCCCTTTCTAGTTTGGCCTATTACCCAACATCAGCAACAAGCAGGCCACTTCACAGAGTGACCCCTCCCAAAAAGAAAAGGACTATATCAATGCAGTCTCTGCACAGGCTCGGGGCGGCACTCCCACCGCCCTCCTGTGACTATGCAGGTGCTTCTTTTCACCAACTCTCCCCCTCCGCAGGGTACAGCCTCCTGCCTGCCCATGACCTGTACATGCCAGGACTTCTCTTTACTGACCTCCCTCAAGGGAGGCCGCTCTCCTCAAGGCCGCCTGCCTGCAACCATGCAGGCCTCTCTTAGCAAACCTGTCCCTTTCCCTTTCCCTAATAAACCTGTTCTTTAAATATAACAAACGTCACTGTCTCATGGAGAAACGTGCCTGGGGAACTCGCTGTGTGCAGCTGAACCAGGAGCTCTGGTGAAACCTTTCCCAGAGTGAACCCAAGGACCCCACAACTCCACAAAACAACATCAATTGTTGGTGGAAATGTAAAATAGTACACCCACTTTAAGAAACAGTATAGCCTATCCTCAATTAAACAGTTAACCATACAATTCAGCAAGTCTACTCTTAAATATATACTCCCCAAAAAATGAAAATATATGTCCACAAGGAAATTTGTAAACAAATGTTCACTGCATTATTCAGAATAGTCAAAAGGTAAGAAAAAAACTAAATGTCTACCCAGACAGCTACAGAAAATGTATATACACACTGAACAATATTAAGCAGCAAAAAGGAATGAAGTAATGGGTCTCCTCAGTGGCACAGCAGTTGAACGCTGGGTTACGAAGCTGCCCGCAGCCTCTGCGGTGCCGGTTCGATCCCCGGCTGCTCCCCGGCCACAGGAGGAGGGTCCCACATGGCGTGCAGACCTCTCCTGCCGCCCGCTGCTCCCCTCAGCATTGTGCTTCGGTCCTTCTGCCTGCTCTGCTCCCCGCTCTGGCTCTGGTGAATTCGCTCACCCTCCCGCGCTTCTGACTGTACCCAGTGCTTGTATGAATAAATAAATTAATAAAATAAATAAATAAATCTTTAAAAAAAAAAAAAAAGGAATGAAGTAATAATCCATGCTACAACATGGATAAACATTAAAAACATTAGCTAAGTGGGCCTCCCTGATGGCGCAGCAGTTGAGCGCTGGGTTGCAAAGCTGCCCACAGCCTCTGCAGCACCGGTTCGATCCCCGGCTGCTCCCCGGCCACCAGAGGAGAGTCCCACATGGCACGCAGACCTCTCCTGCCACCCGCTGCTCCCCTCAGCAGTGTACTTCGGTCCTTCTGCCTGATCTGCACTCTGCTCTGGCTCTGGTGAATTCTCTCACCCTCCCGCGCTTCTGACTGTACCCAGTGCTTGTATAAATAAAAATAAATAAATAAATCTTAAAAAAAAACCCAAAAAAACATTATGCTAAGTGAAATAAGTCAGTCACAAAAGGCCTCATATGGTGATAGAAAGTTGATTAGTGGTTATTCAGACCTGAAGGGCAGGGAGGCTGGGAGGATAAGGAGCTAAAGGGTACAAGTTTTCTTCCTAACTTTTTATATTCTAAATGAAAATATCCTAAAACTTAGTACAGTGATGGTTGCATTAACCATGAATATACCAAAAAGTCACACATTGTGCAGTTTAAATAAATGAATATCACATCTGAAATGTATTTCAATAAACTATTTAAAAAACAGTAATTTAGTAATACTCTATTTCAGTTAGCCTAGGTTCAGACTCCCACAATATCAGCCCATAATTCCCACTGTAACATAATACCTAAAAATTAGTCATTAATTAAGCAGATTAATTTTGGTGGCAGTTTTCAAAAGGCTATGTGTAGAATCAGGCATAATACTTTAAAGAAAGAATTGCTGTCTCCAATCACCTAATCCTATGAGATCAAAATCTCTGTAACAGAACATAGATCTCTCTTTTCAAGTTTCAGAGGTTAAAGGGAGGGGTAAAGGGAGGAGAGGTCAACTTTAATAGACATATTAGAACAAGTGGGGATATCTGAATATGTCTATAGATTACGTAGCATTATTAAACTGCTATTAAACTTCTTGAATCAAATAATGTATTGGTAGTGTTTTGGGAGACTATCTTTCATTTCTGGAGAAATAATTACGTAATGGTGAGGCATCTTACTATCTGTGACTTGCCTTGAAATATTTCAGAAACAAAAAAATACACACACACACACACAGACAAAGCAACTGTGATGAAAATGTCATGTCACGTTAAAACCAAGTTGGCCAATCTAAGTAAGCTTATGTGGGTACTCACTGTAATATTCTTCTCATTTTTCTGTAGGCTTGAAATTTTCAAAATAAAAACCTGGGAAGAGGGGAAGTTCCACAAATGATCCTATTCTCCCTGTAGCCTAAGTGTCACAGACTTCAGGTCATATACAAATTTCTTGAACCAAAATTTAACTTCCCTTTTGCTTTAAGACGATTTCTATCCCCAATTCCTTGGATGAACAAATGAACAAAGCTTTCTACTCCACATATACCAAAAAACCTATAATCAGAGTAGATGAGATTACATTTTAATGGAAACAAGTTTCTGTTATTGTGACCATACAAATTCTAGTGTGCCTTGTCCTTTAAATAAAGGAAAGAATATAAGCACAGTCAATGAATGCCTTAAGTAAAGAAGCAGGGTCGGGCCTCCCCGGTGGCGCAGCGGTTGAGCGCTGGGTTGCGAAGCTGCCCGCGGCCTCTGCGGCGCCGGTTCGATCCCCGGCACCGGAGGAGGGTCCACATGGCGCGCAGACCTCTCCTGAGCAGTGTACTTCGGTCCTTCTGCCTGCTCTGCTCCCCGCTCTGGCTCTGGTGAATTCTCTCACCCTCCCGCGCTTCTGACTGTACCCAGTGCATGTATAAACAAAACAAACAAATATAATAAATAAATAAATAAAAACATGCCTCTAATTAAAAAAAAAAAAAAAAAAAAAAAAAAAAGAAGCAGGGTCAAAGGGTACAGGCAGAAAACCATCCCAGACTACATAACTTAATCACATCACTGTTAGAGTCTTTTTTTCTTTCTTTCTTTTTTTTTTTTTTGTGGGACCCTCGCCGGCGGCCGGGGAACGAACCGGCACTGCAGAGGCTGCGGCAGCCTCTCAGCCCAGCGCTCAACCGCTGCGCCAGCAGGGGAAGCCCACTGTTAGATTCTTTCTATCATAAAAAGCCTATACAAAGAAAAGACCTATTCTTTCACCCAACACATATTTAAGTATCCACTATGTGGCAAACATACTCCCTATCTTCATGTGCTAAGTATATGTACCATAGAGCTATACACAGAAGCGAAACAACCTCAAATGATTTAAATCATTTCTATAAAGAAAGCTGTTTCCTAAAAAATGTATTCATTAAAGTTACAATCATATAGAATTTTTTTCTAGACTTAATACATAATCAAAACCAGTGACAGAATGCACATAATCAGGATATATTCAAGTAAATTCCCTTCTTTACAATGCTTCACTTTAAGAAATTAAAATACCCAGGGCCTCCCTGTGGCATAAGGGGTTAAGTCTCAGCACTATGAAGCTATCTGCAATCCCTGGCCAGGATGCTAACCCACATGGCGCAGCAGACCTCTCCTGTCTTGCCTGCTGCTCCCCTCAGCACTATATTTCAGCAGATCCACCTGTTGTGCTCCCCACTGTCTCTGGTGAATCCTCTTGTCTCCCCCCGCACCCTGGCCTGCACCCCAGCTCTTGTATGCATAATTAATCTTTAAAAAAAAATTAAAATATCCAAATTCTTAAAAAAGGAAAACAATAGATATAACAAAAGACAATCACAGATTTGTTCACAGAGCAACATAACATCTTACTTACCAAGCCAGCAGTAAGAGAAGGTGCAGACTGTCCAAGGGACTGGTTTCTCATTCGGACCAAATTTGATGCTTCTCCTGAAGACTGGCAAGTCACCTGTCCCACATTGCTATGTACGCTGCTGGATAAGGGGAGCAGCTGCTTACCTTCAAACACAAGATTTGGAAAAAACACTTGTACTTTTATTAATAAACAAATGAAAAAATATAAACACATTAATAGCAAATGGATAAAAGTATACTGACTCAAAACTTCACAAATGTGAAGTTCCCCAACATCCATTTTAGAATAGATAGCTCTTTAAAAGCTCCAACTGCCTTCGTGGTGAGAGTTACAACTGAAATACTGAACTGAGTTAACTATTTTAATTCTCTGTAATATCTATCACATGTCAATTCCCCTACTCTGACACCCAATCTAGCAGGTCAGGAATTTTCCAGTCCCTTCCACTCTACCTAGTTCCTTACGAACTCAAAGTGTAACAAGAGTGGAAATGACAGCATCTCCCTTTAGAGCTTTTGTTTCCAGAAAACAATAAATCTACATTGTTAATATCAGGCTCTGGGTTGACTCACTGGTGGAATCTTATTGAAAAGAATACAAGAGAGTTACTTATAAAGACTGAGTTCTACAACTGCAATGACTTTCTGAGGTGCAAATCCCATTTCAATCCCTTTACACTACTGCTAGTAATCTAATCAAAATAAATATAGTCATGTTAGTCCCTTCCTTAAAAACCTCTGATGGATCCTTCATGTTTAAAGAATTAAGCCAAACTTCTTTTTAACAAACTACAAAGGCCCTCCCTAAATCAGATTATCTTCTGGGCCTCAGAGTTCCTTACACTCTTTTCCACATATTCACTCACTCTACTTTTAAAACATTATGCTCTACACCTGACTTTTTTTTTTTTTGAAGATTTATTTATTCATTTACACAAGATCCTGAGTACAGGCCAGATGCGTGGGAGGATGAGAGGATTCACCAGAGAGAGAGTGGGGAACAGAACAGGCAGACTGATGAAATATACTGCTGAGGGGAGCAGCAGGTGAAACAGGAGAGGTCTGCTGCATGGTGTGGGACCCTCACCGGCAGGCCAGGATCGAATCGGTGCTGCAGAGGCTGTGGACAGCTTCACAGCGCAGCGCTCAACTGCCTGCGTCACCAGGGGAGGCCCATACACCTGACTTTTCTTGCTGACCAAACTCATTTAAAAACCCTCCCTCTTCTTGGCAAAATCTTATTTGTCACGGAAATACCATTTTAATAAAGTATGAGGACAGAAGTTTTTGGTTTTGTTTTTACTACAGTGTTCCCTCTTAAACAAACAAAAAGTGATGCAACTTATTTATCTGTACGATAACTTAAAAAGCATTAAGATTTTAATTTGAGGGCCTCCCTTGGTGGCGCAGGCGGTTGAGCACCGCACTGGAAAGCTGTCCGCAGCCTCTGCAGCGCTGGTTCGATCCCGGCCGGCCGGGGAGGGTCCCACATGGAGCGGCAGACCTCTCCTGTCTCGCCCACTGCTCCCATCAGCAGTGTATTTCTTCAGTCTGCCTGTTCTGTTCCCCACTCTGTTTCTGGTGGATCCTCTCACCCTCCCGCACATCTGGCCTGTACAACAGTTCTTGTATAAATAAATAAATCTTTTTAAAAACATTTAACTAATTCCTATTTGAATGATTTTCTTAAATTTCTTCTGCATGAATCTTCTAAAAGTTTTGCATGAAGGAAGTGGGAAGGCATTAGAAGTTTTGCAATGAGTTCTGAAAATGGTTGTGGGGGGAGAAAATCAAAAGAGGCAAAAATGCAAAGTTTACAGAAGTGAGCAGAAAGCAAAAACTAAGATTAAAAGGGAATAAACAATGACAGCAGCCATAAAAGAAATATCTAGAAGGTTCAAGATATTGGGATTCAGGGATTCTATGAGGAAGCACTAGAAAAGCAGACAGTCCTACCTATAAGTGTTCTATACAAGACTCCCACTAGAAAAGAAACTATCAAGATATCAAGTCAACTGATACACTCATAAATATTGATAAAATTTCTACTTCTTAAAGGAAAATTTAAGATACTTACCTGACAAAGAATTGGCCAGGCTTCCTCTCCGTAACTTACAATCATCCTGACTAAGCTGTCGTTGGAGTTTAGCTTTTCCAGTGGATGAAAAGATGTCAGGATTGCTGAGCTTCCTGAAGAGCAGGGGACTAAGTCCAGTTATCACATCCTTCAAAGAGAAAAAAAAAGTAAAACACAAGGCTTTATTTTCTTCTCCAAAAGTATAAGTACTTTATATTTAACATTACTATAATATTCAGTACAATTAAAAAGTGCCAGCATTTTACATTTCTTGCTCAGTAACTAGTCAGAAATACATTTCTTGGTAAAATCTGTGTGGGTATGTAATGAAGGCTATGGGATATTGGTTAAAAAGTTCCACAAGAAGGGGATCAGGGGGCCTCCCTGGTGGCACAAGGGGTTAAGACACAACCTATGAAGCTATCCACAACCAGTGCAGCACGAGTTTGATCCCTGGCCTGCCACGGAGCAACCCACATGGTGCAGCAGACCTCTCCTGGCTCGCCCACTACTCCCCTCAGCAGTGTACTTCAATCTGCCTGTTCTGTTCCCCACTCTGTCTCTAGTGAATCCTCTCACCTTCCACACCTCTGACCTGTACCCCAACTCTTGTATACATAAATAAATCTTAAAAAAAAAAGGGAGGGAGCAGGTTCATAAAATATGAGACATTTTGATAAGATATATTATTCACAATAAGTACACGTTTAGTTATGTTTATTTTTCTGCTTTTATTCAAACTTTTCCTATATCAAATAAAAAAGCTTATTTAGTTTTAAAAATATCATTAGATATCATATACCTTCCTTTACCTGTCATACAAAGTTAGAAATACCTCTAACATTAACTAATGCTAAAATAAAACTTGCTTTATCTGTCTATAACAGAAGCTAAATATATGTTTTCAATGAAAAAGTACAAAAGTACTATGGAAAAAATAGACAATATGAAACACTTTCCATTGCCCTTATTTTAGTCTAGTCTCTGCCAATGGCTGGTTCCTTCTCTGAGTAAGCAGTGTCCAACATATCATCATCAAACCAAAGATGTTCTGAAGCAAACACCTCCCTAATTTGCATTTTTTGAAAAGAAAGAGGCACATCTTTTATATTTCAGTGAAGGAAGTTATAATAAACATAGATAAGTAGTATGTCAAACTGGTCTTCACAGTACAATGACAAAATGAAAATCATAAAAGAAATAACTAATATCTACACCACCTGCCATTTGAAAAACAAGATGCAAGTAACTGATACCATGGTAATATTAAAAAAAAAAAGCACAGGGGAAAAATGGAAAAAGTGTCCACCTCCCTGAGAAAAGATTATTTTTTTAATCCTTTCAGGTCATATACTATTAATTGGTGGGTTCGCAATCCACACAGGAAGTGCTAAATTGGTTGGTAGTGGCTACCCTGAATAAAATTTACAATCAGGGTCTCCCTGGGTCGCAGGCAGTTGAGCTCCACACTCTGCAGCGCTGATTCAATCCTGGCCGGCCGGGGAGGGTCCCACATGGCGTGGCAGACCTCTCCTGTCTCGCCCGCTGCTCCCCTCAGCAGTGTATTTCTTCAGTCTGCCTGTTCTGTTCCCCGCTCTGTCTCTGGTGAATCTTCTCACTCTCCCACACATCTAGCCTATACCCCGGTTCTTGTATAAAAATAAATCTTAAAAAAAAAAAAATTTACAATCACCAAAACATAAAAATAAGAGTGAAGGTCGTAAATAAAAATAGTGGAATAGAGAAGGGAAAAACAGTTTTTTAACTGGTGGTAAGCAGACAAAAGAATACAGGAGGATATTTAGGCACTATATCATGAAAGCAGTAGATATGTCCAGGCAGCTTTAACAGCTGTGAGCAGGGAGGAAAGGGAACTAAAAACAGTAACTAATAGGCAACAAAGGAGCAGTCAGTCTTTGGGTCATCAAGAATGAAACAGCATCTATGCATTAAAAAGAAACCATAGGGCCTCCCTGGTGGCACAGCGGTTGAGCGCTGGGTTGCAAAGCTGCCTGCAGCCTCTGCAGCACCAGTTCGATCCCCGGCTGCTCCCGGGCCACCAGAGGAGGGTCCCACCTGGCGCGCAGACCTCTCCTGCCGCCCGCTGCTCCCCTCAGCAGTGTACTTCGGTCCTTCTGCCTGCTCTGCTCCCCGCTCTGGCTCTGGTGAATTCTCTCACCCTCCCGCGCTTCTGACTGTACCCAATGCTTTAATAAATAAATAAATAAATAAATAAATAAATAAATAAATAAATAAATAAATAAATCTTTAAAAAAATAATAAAAAGAAACCATAGAAGGGGCTTCCCTGGTGGCTCAAGGGGTTAAGTCACAGCACGATGAAACTGTTTGATCCCTCACCAGGGGGCTGACTCACATGGCACAGCAGACCTCTCCTGTCACAATCTGCTGTTCCCCTCAGCAGTGTATTTCAGTAGATCTGCCTGTTCTGCTCCCCACTCTGTCTCTGATGAATCCTCTCACCCCTCCCCCCGCACCTCTCAGCTGCACCCCAGCTCTTGCATGCATAAATAAATCAGAAGAGGAAGACAAAAAGGAGGAGGAGGAAGAGGAGGAGAAAGAGGAAGGAGGAGACAGAGATGGAGACGGAGACAAAGATGAAGATGAAGAAGAAACACAGAAGCAAGCAGGATATGGCCACTAATGCTGGCAATCCATCAAAAAAGGACTGGCAAGGAGGAAACCTCAGTTCATAGCTGCCTCTGCAGGGGAAGGCAATGCCTATTTCTCTAGTTCTAGCCATAGAAGATACAAGCATGAGTGCGACAGTGAGCCAGGGAGACAGGGGCCCCAGTACGGAAGGCATAGCTCAGAAAGGCTGAACACTCCACTGCCACCATCCATTTTCTCCCAGGAGAGGGAGGTACAGTGGATACAGTGAAACCCTGTTCAGCACCCTGACCAAGAATAAACTCCATTATCCTCCCCAAACACACTGAAGACACAGCTACAGATGAGTTCTACCTGACATAGATTCTACCTGATAAAGAGCACCATCTACTGGAAAAATGGAAGCTCTGCACCCTTAATATTTAGAAAGAAAATAATCAAGAGACCAAAAAATACAACAAATGTCAACCGAGTCTGCAGGAGAGTATTATACCATAGACAGAACCTATCTCCAGAACCAAACCACAAAGAAGTGGAAGAGCTTTTCTTCCTATCAGGTACAGAATTCAAATTTTCCATGGCAGGGCCTCCCCAGTGGCGCAGCGGTTGAGCGCTGGGTTGCCAAGCTGCCCGCGGCCTCTGCGGCGCCGGTTCGATCCCCGGCTGCTCCCCGGCTACCAGAGGAGGGTCCCACATGGCGCGCGGACCTCTCCTGCTGCCCGCTGCTCCCCTCAGCAGTGTACTTCGGTCCTTCTGCCTGCTCTGCTCCCAGCTCTGGCTCTGGTGAATTCTCTCACCCTCCCGCGCTTCTGACTGTACCCAGTGCATGTATAAACAAAACAAACAAACAAACAAATAAATAAATAAAAACATGCCTCTATTTAAAAAAAAAAAAATTTCCATGGCAAAGAAATGGAAGAAAACACACAAAAGCTTATCAAACATACAAAGGAAAATTCAGAAAAACAAATGTCCTGAGAAATAAAATTAACAAAAGGAAGACTGAAATTAAGTTTTAAATAACAATGTAATGGAGATGCAGGATGCAAAAAGATAAAAATTCTACAGAAAGCTATGGAAGTAAAATAGATTAAATGAAAGAGCAAACCAGTGATCTTGAAGATGAGAATGCACAAAGAATTCAGGTGGAAGAAGGAAAAAAAACACAAAGAAACAGTGTGAATAAACACCTCAAGAATTTTCCAATTCCATGAGGAAAGGCAATACAGGAATAATAGGTATCCCAGAAAGGGAAGAAAGATAAAAAGGGAACAGAGAAATATTTAAAGAAGTAATAGAGGAAAATTTCTCAAACCAGGAGAAGGAATTAAACATGCAAGTCCATGAAGCTAAAGATCAGGTTACATAAACAGAATGAAACCTACACCAAGACACACAGTAGTGAAATTCTTCAGAGAACTCAAGACAAAAAAAGACTATTAAAGCTAGCTAGGGGTGGGCCTCCCTGGTGGCGCAATGGTTGAGCGCTGGGCTGTGAAGTTCTGCAGCACCGGTTCTATCCCAGCCCGCTGGGCGAGGGTCCCACGTGGTGCGCAGACCTCTCCTGCCGCCCTCTGCTCCCCTCAGCAGTGTGCTTTGTCACTCTGCCTGCTCTGCTTCTGGCTCTGGTGAATTCTCTCACCCTCCCAACCTGTGCTTCTGACTGTACCCAGTGCTTATAGAAATAAATAAATAAATCTTTAAAAAAAAAAAAAAAAGCTAGCTAGGGGAGAGAAGCTAACAACCTACAAAGGAACCCCAATCAGGCTTACATCTGCTTCTCCAAGGAAACACTACCAGCAAGGAGAAAACAGAACGTGGTCAAAATATTTAAAAAGTTAAAAACTGCCAGTCAGTATTACTCTATCCTGCTAGGTGCTTCTCCTTTTAGATGTGAGGGAAAAATAGAAATAAAAGACTAAACAGAAGCCAAAGGAGTTTGCAAACTCTAGACCTCTTCCTCCAAGAAATGTTGGAAAAAACTATCATATCAAAACAAAGAGAAGAACATTCACAAAGGACTTGAACAAAGCAACAGAACCACAAAATTAAGGACAAAATGACAATAGCAAACCTTTACATCTCAAAAATCACTCTAAATGTAAACAGACTGAAACCATCAATTAAGACAGAGTGTCTGGCAAGATTAAAAAAGAATCTGACAATCCGCTGTCTCCACAAAATGTATCTGAAGTCCAAAAATAAACATAAGCTCAGAGTAAAGGGTTGGAAAACAATCCTACAAGAAATAGGACCCAAAGGAAAGCAGAGATAGGCATACTCATCTGATAAAATAGATTTCCAGCTAAAACACATAACAAGAGAAAGGAATGGACACTATAGTGATTCAGGGAATACATCAGTAAGATATAATACTAATCAATATATACAGACCAAACAAAGCATCATCAAAACATATAAGACAATTACTAGCAAATCTGAAAATACAGGGCCTCCCTGGTGGCACAGGGGTTAAAGAAGTGCTGTCAAGCTATCACTAGTCACTGAAGCACAAGTT